TGACAACGTCCTCATCCAACCTGACTTCAGCAAGATGCCAATGGTCCTGACGCACAAGCGGGATAAGGAGTACACTCTTCCTCGCAGCAATATGCTTTTGTATAAATGAAGTATATATGTGTGGGAAATCAGGAGTGTTTGCATAAAGGCTGTGCTGTATAATCCAAGTATAATGGAATGTTATGACGGGAGTAAACACGTGTTAAAGAATCATAGTATCGTAAAGTAGATAGCTTACGCAGAAGAAGACTGATACAATCCCATACTTATGGCTCAGGGGAACCATTTCTGGCCTATCCAGCCATGAGCTTATTCTATCGATCAAAGCTTCCATCAACTGAAAATGGAACATACATAAGACACACATTAGATTGCATAACAACCCTGTCAGATTGTGAGGAAAAATTGCATAAGTGAGGCAATTAAACTTGCATGGTCGTCAATACGTCCCCCTCGTAGTAGGTTGAGAAGCTCCATAGAATCAATACTACTGTTTGACGTATTTAAAAACAATACATGAGCTGATATATGACAGAAAGATACAGAGATTAACATAAATGGTAAAACGTTAGCCTGATTCTGGAAAATTTAACATATAACAATGAACAATAACATGTTATAGCATAAGTTAACATCAATGAGCATAAGTTAACATGTTTCTTTTAACATGAACATGCAAATAGAATTAAAGAGTTCGCATGGATTGAACTTACTCATGAGCTTTCTGATTGCAAAACTCTGAGACCCATCTGTTCTCCTCTAGAGTGAGCTTTGCCGCTACATGATGGGGTATTCTAAAGTTGTGAACAAAGGTTCCTGCGCTATCAACCAGGCGTATGCTAAAATCATCAACAAAAGGAATCCTCTCGTTCAGCACCTTCAACAGAGCCTCCTCATTCTTCTTGATTTTTTTGGTTTTTTGAAAATCCCACGTGCATTCACTAGGCTTGCAGTAGTACCTGATTTTTTTCCCTAACATCCTCCTTGTGATGTGAAATTGTAATTAATTCTGGTTGGGCTATCTTCTTCTTTTCCTCAGTGAAAGGGGTTCGGATTAGCTGAGAACGAGTCCTGATTCTGGTACTTGGTCCCCTTGTTCCCTTCGAAACAACTTTCTTCGACCACTTTCGATAAACTTGTAATAAGTTCTTCTCCCCCATACCCATCTCCTATACTTTCTCCGCACTGCCCTTCTCTTCTTCCTTCTCTTCTTCAAACATCTGCGCTAGCTCTTCCTCTTTCTCATGTACTTTCATCTCCTGCTCTCTAACTTCCACTTCAAAGTACTCCTCTCTAACTTCCACTTTCTCAGATGTCGATGAATCTACAACTGCAAGCTATCTTCCTGTTCTACTACTACTTGCTCTCTATCCTCCTCTCTATTCTCTTGCTCTCTATCTCCCTCACTCAATGCTTGCTCTCTATCTTCCTCTTTCTCCTCATGCTCTCTGTCTTCCATCTCTTCCTCTTTATATTCCCCTCCAGTCTCTTCATCCTCGTCTTGGCCAACACTGTCTCCCTCCTGCTCAGCTTATGCTACACCCTCCGCAATATGCGAGGCCTCCTTACCAATAATGCGCACGTCGTCATAATCGAAACAATCGACATCGTCACCCTTGCTAATGCTGTCAACACTTCTTTTCCTCTTCACATGTGCAACCCTTGTATGCCTGTCACTCTTGGACATAATCTCCTCCACACTTTTCTTCAGGTCCTGGGGATCAATCAGGTCAGCAGTTCCTTCGTAAAACTCCAATTTCCGGTTCAGCCTATGTATCTCCTTAGAACAAGCATCCCATTGAAGGCGCTTACTACGCTTTGTGGCATGGAGCAATTTCATGTTTAATTTGGTCGTATTCCTCCAGAACTGAATTTGCTGATCAAGGCTCAACTTTTCTATTTCATCTTCTTTGTCAAGCGCGTTCTTGATATGCTGGGAGACAATCTGGAAAAATAACCAGTAAGTTACAAAATTCAACCATCATAAATATGCTAGCAAATCAGTAAAAGATTATTGACGCTTACGTATCCTACGGATGAGCTATTTTGTCTGCCCTTCACCCTCGCTTGCTTCTCATCCTTTACGTTTTCTTTCTTCTCCTTCACTCTCGGCAATGAAACCACCATAGCTTTACTCTTATCTGATCTCGCAGGGATCCTTTTCTTCCCAAGGCGAGCGCTACTAATATTCTTCCAAGAGGGCTCTCTTTGAGGGTATTTCCCCCCCGCTGGCAAATTGGTTGATTCAGGTTTATCCTTAATTTTAATGGTTGCTTTTTCTGCCTTGGAGACAATTGTCTCCCTCCTCATCGATCCAGCCGTCCCTCCGATCCTTACCCAGTTGGTCAACGGCGGCTTCCATCTGATGTTTAGGGCAGGTTTTCTAATGCATGTCATCTCGTAGAACCATAGCTGCCAAAATAGAGGCAACAATTATTTATCATTAATTCCCTGCACATCAAAACTCCTTATGCAACTTCATTTCTTCGTAGCTAACTTTCACTATAAAAAGTTAACTTTTATCAGTACTGGTTATATTTCACTTAAACATGTTAACTTTGAGGTCTCCATGTTAACTTTTAATTTAACATGTTAATTTTCACCAACACTGGTTAACATTCAAAATTGCATAAGTTACATTATCTAATATCGGTAGCCAAAACTCTTTAAATATAAAACAAATGTTAAACCACATATGAACATGCAACTTACAGGGATGAGCGGCATGCATCCAGGGACGTACGTAACCCCTGGCTTCCTCAACCCTTCAACGGCAATGTGAATGCCTCTCTTCGTCTCATCAAAAATAAATTTACCCCACGCAATGTTCTTCACTCTCTCAATGCTATCTACATATTGAAACAACAATCTTGGAATGCCTTGCGAGCTGTTCGGACACCAAATCATTGAACACTGGTACAATATTTGAAGAAGAACAAAATCCTCAACGTCCTTATCGTCACTTGACTCAACAAGTGTTTCCAGTAACTCTTCAACATATTTCCTCATGCTACCAGGTTCTTCTGTAGCCCTGGCCTTTGCCTTCTCCTTGTCCTTGAACATTTCTTTCTTATCTTCAAAGTACTCCCTCCAAAGCCGGTTGTGAGAGTCTCTATTCCCATAGATCAACTCCCCATCAATAGGAAAGCCGTGTGAGTTTGCACCCACTCTTCATCAAATTTGACTGAAATTAGAGACCCTATTCGGGGATCGGGAAAAGAGAATTCATCAGTTTCAGCATCATAGTGACTGAGCACATGCTCCAGTGCACGTCGATCTCGGGCAGGAGGGCCGAAGAACACATAGTGTTCAAAGTTAGTGCCCTTTAAGGCATCCCAATGCCAATTCTTCATTTTTGAATGAAGTTTATGCATGAATATACAATACGATCCAAAACGTGCACTAGGCCTGATATCACCTACAGCATCACGTTTACTGCATAAACAACAAGACGTTGATTTGGATTAGGAGACAGTTAACAATACAGCCATTAACTTATTAAAAGTTAATATTTATTAACATGAATAGCTAATAGTTGACACCTAAGGGAAAACGTCGACACCAAACGAGAATTATTGACATGCAGAGCCACTAACCAACAACTACGTGAATTATTGGCATGCATTTCTTCCGAACACTTATATTTCCTATTGCACAGATCATACTCCAAAAGTAAGGATCTACACAACACTAACCAGTTTCTGACCAATATTTTCACATAAACAGAACCCATAAACCTCATTTAAATTCAAATCACACAATTAAATTAATTAAATTCAAAGTGGGGAAATTGCTTGGGAACTTACTTCTTCTTTGAAGTGAACTCTTCTTTCGGCGAGCGTCTCCTCTTCCGCTCTCGCTTTTCCAGCCCCCTTTTCATGCTCAATAGGGTTTCCGTCGCCTCATTACTCTCCTCGTCGGAGGAGGATGTCGGAGGAGAACCACAGGCCGGAGGTATGACGGCGTCGGCGGAGGCTGAGGCGACCAATTTTGGAGTTTCCTCCTTCATCAATCGTGCCGACCGCCGCAGGTGACGACGCCCTACGGTTTGGGTGTCGACTCCTTCCCCCTTCTCTTCCTCAGCCTTCTGGCCCGTTTTCCTTAACTTTTTTTTGGCCATTTTCCTTTCTTGTTTTCCTGGGAGATTGAGGGAATTTGGGTTTTAAAAATGGGTTCTCGAGATGAGAAGAGGTTTGGTTTGAGGAGAGCGAAGAAGAAGAGGGAGAAGCCAGGCCGATTTTGGGGGGAAACTGCAAGGGGCATTTTTGGGATTTCGGTTTTTTCTGCTCTCAGTTCGGTCTGGGAAACATAAAAGGGGCTGAAACACAAGAACGTTTGGTATTTGGGACTTTGGCACGAAAAAAAAATACAGGGGGCCTCCACGCATCCCCTTTACAATTTTGGGGCCTAGACACAATTTTCCCTTTTTTTATACACTTAAGAATAAACAAATTTTCTATCTGTGCGGATAGACCCTTATGTGCTAAAGCAATTTCTTTTGAGTCAAAAAAGTGGATCGTCGCATCTACCCCAACCTGGACAAAAGGATACACACCAGTAAAAGTATATGGGTTTATTCGCAATTGGGCAATACTAAAGGTGTCTATCCACAATTACGCGATACTACAAAGAGATTGAATTTGATGTAGATTGTCTATAAACGCCGTTCTTGGAATTGGGTAATCAGTATGTGATGAAAGGGAACAGCCCATACGCCCACAATCTCCACATTCTACTTGAGAACTCCAAGCGCAAGCATCAGGCTTGTTCAAACTATGGGTTTTTTTTTCGATCTTTTCTAAGGAATTTTAGAGGACAAACACTGCTGCTTCTCCTTTATTCTTACTTCTATCTCCAATTTTTTTTATCCCCTGTCATACCGCGATTTGGCTCACTAGCCTCTAAACGAGGTATGAATACTCACTATCAAACAGTTACAAATAGAACCCAAATATCAACACATTCAAAACACACAACAGAGCTAATCAATCTCGGTTTCAATGGATTACCGCAAGCAAATGCTTAACATCCTCGCTATTGTTTTCACCACTCTTCCAGCGTTGGCTCGAGGCACTGGAAACATAGTAGTTGATCACTATGGTTGGACACTTGGCTTCAGCTACAGCGCTCGGGCTGATGGCAAAGAGTTCAGAGTCGGCAACACTCTTGGTAATTTCATATTACTCTTCAGCTGTAGAACTCTGACTGAATTTTCTTGAACTAACATACGCTTCTCGAAGTTTTCAAGTATATATGCTGTAGGAAAACACAACGTCTTCAAGGTGAATGGCCCTGACTTCATGGCTTGCATTGCGCCCTCCGAGAGTGAGGAAATGGCCACTGGTAATGATGTGATCATACTTTCAAGCTTAGGTAGAAAGTAGTACATTTGTGGCAAGGCTAATGGTGTTCGTTGTCAAAAGGTGATGAAGCTTGTGATTAATATGTTCTCCCCAACTATTGAAAGTACTACTCCATACTATTCATCACCACCGGCATGGATGTTGGGGAATACCCGGGGCTACGCTAAACCCCTAAAACAGCAAAAACACAATATAGAGAAGAGTACACCAAAATTTAACGAGATTCGGCAAACTTGCTTATGTCCTCAAGAGCCACACAATTAATTTCTTATTAATTAACAAGAAATTACAATGCAAGAGCAAATCCCAAACTTGAGATCTCTCAATAAATACAATATTAAACACTGTAGCTACAGTGTTTAATTCCCTCTCTTAAATCAAATCCCCCTCTTCCAAGTTCTCTATCTGAGCGCTGGAAAAAAATCGCAAGAGGGGAGAGAAGGAGCTATGCCGCCGCTAGAGAGGGAGAACGCATGAGGAGAGAGAGAGAAGAAACAACAGAGGGGGGCTCTGGGTTTTCCTTTTATAAGGAAACCCTAGGTGGGCTGTCGACAGCCTGTCCCGCACTCAAACGAGCGCTCGAGCTCGCCTAATTCAACCCCATCTGCGTCGACCCGACTCCGACCTCGCCTGGTGTCCACCGAGCTCGCCTGCATCTCGCCTCAACCCCGAGCTCGCTTGGAATTCCTCGCCTGCGTTGCGCCGTCGAGCTCGCCTGAACTTCGACCACGAGCTCGCCTGAAGGAGCTCCTCGCCCGCTCGAGCTCGCCTGACAGGTTTGGTCTACACGCAAACCAACAATCTCCCACTTGGAGACCAAACCGCCGTCAGCAGGCTATCTCAACAAGCACCTCCTCCTGTGTGGTTCCGCCTTCATCACTTATGCATGAAGACCAACTGAAGTTGGCACAACTCCAGTTTTTGAAAAGTCACTGCCTTTGTCAACATATCCGCTGGATTCTTACTTTCTTAGATCTTCTGTTAAAATCCTTTGACAATTTGTCGGGCTCTGTATCTTTTGGAACCATCATGTTCTTTTTTCACTCGGTACACTCACTTGTTGTGATGCGTCTTCTTCCCCATATGCAACTCAGCTAGTTCCCATTTCTGATTGGAGATCAGAGATTTCAACTCTTCTTTCATGACAAGCTCCCACTTGCTCGCATCTCCACTCTGACAAGCTTCATCATAGCTTTCAGGCTCCCTTCTATCTGTCAGCAACATATAATTCATGTATCTGCTGTTAGGTACAGGAGGACGAGAAGATCTTCTCAATATCGAAGCTGGTGTGTCGGGCTCCTGCACACCATTCTGTCCAACAGGCTCTTTCGGCTGAGGACCTTCTGTATTAGGTTCTTCCGAGAGGTTACTCGGAACATCATCAGCATCTACAAATGTTGACTCGCTCTCTGAATCATCTATCTTGTGCATTTCCTTGTACATCACCTTCTCGTTGAATATCACATCTTTGCTCCTGATCACCTTCTTGTTTTCGTTGTCCCAAATACGGTAGCCGAACTCATCTTCACCATAGCCGATGAAAGTGCATTTCTTAGACTTGGGATCAAGCTTATTCCTGCCTTGATCACTAATATGCACCATAGCCGATGAAAGTGCATTTCTTAGACTTGGGATCAAGCTTATTCCTGCCTTGATCACTAATATGTACATAAGCTACACAACTGAAAACTTTGAGATGTGAGAGTTTTACCTCCTTTCCGCACCATACCTCATATGGTATTGTGTTCCAATGGAACCAATGGACCTTGGTTGATCAAGTAAGCTGTTGTGTTGACTGCTTCTGCCCAGAACTGTTTCAATAGACCTAACTATATCTGAATGCTTCTAGCTCTCTCTGTCAACGTTCTATTCATATGCTCAGTCACACCATTGTGCTGAGGCGTGTCGGGCATGGTTCTCTCCATTCTGATCCTGTACTCATAGCAGAACTTCTTGAATCCGATGTCTTTCTACTTATGGTCATTGTCGGTCCTGAGCTTCTTTATTTTTAGACCGGTCTCATTCTCGACCATGACTTTTCATCTCCTGAATGCTTCAAACACTTCTGACTTGTACTTCAGAAAGTAAACCCACACTTTCCGAGAGTGATCATCAATAAAAGTCATGTAGTGTTTTCCACCAATGGACGTGGTGGTGTTTGGTCCTCAAATATTTGAGTGAACGAGCTCTAGCTTCTCTTTCCTAGGGGTTCTGTCACTTGTCTGAAAATTGACTCTCTCCTGCTTTCCAAGTATGCATTCTTCACACATATCAATCTCTACTGATTGTAAACCTGTGAGTTTTACCTTTGTGTGCATAACCTTCATCCCATTTTCACTCATATGACCGAGTCTCCGGTGTCACAGCTTTGAAGTCTCATTACCTGCTGCAACTGAGATCAAACAACGTGCACCTCTTGTCATATACAGGATATCAGTCTTCTTACATTCGGCAATCGTCATTGTGTCCTTTGAGATCTTCCAATCATCTCCATAAAAGGTCATAGTGTATCCTTCGCCAGCCAACTGACCTACGGATATTAAGTTCTTTCTCAGATCAGGAATATGTCTGACATCCTTCAGCTCTCATACTGACACGTTCAACTTAATTTTACTATGTTTTTGCCCATAATAGCACACGGTTAATCGTCGCCAAGGTATACATATCCAAGATTTCCGAGAACATACTTTTCGAAGAATTCTTTCTGAGAAGTATCATGGAACGACGCTCCTGAATCTAACACTCAAGTTTCCTCCTTGCTCTTCAAAGAGCATATCAATACATCGTCTCCTCCTGAGGTGGAATTGACATTCACCTCTGCCTTCACCTCCTTCTCATTCTGTGCACTTTTGCACGGATTCTTGTAGTGTCCGGTCTTTCCATAATTCCAACACTCGATAGCCTTCGAGCTGTTGCTTGGATTCCTTGACTTGGACCTCCTGTCCTTTGATCTACCTCTGTAGTTTGATTTGTCTCGTCTGTTTCCTTTGATTAAATTTCTACCTCTTGACTATGTATGTAATACTGAAGAGGTTGTAGCTTCACCCGACTCTCTCCGTCGGATCTCCTCATAACCAGATCACGAACGTCATCGAACTTTAACTTGTTGCTTCCCGATGAGCTACTCACAGCCGTGACTGTAGCGTTCCAGCTTTCTATAGGGAAGAGAGAAGTATCAATGTCCGAACTTCCTCATCAAACTTAATTTCAACTGAACTAAATTGGGTTGTGACCATGTTGAGTTCATTGAGGTGTTGTGCTACTAACGCGCCTTCTATCATTCTCAGATTGAATAACTGTCTCATCAAATAAACTTTGTTCGTGACTGATGGCTTCTCATACATATTTGAGAGTGTTACCATAAGACCCGTCGTGGTCTTCTCCTTCGCAATATTGAACGCAACATAACGAATTAACGTCAATCTGATAACTTCGAGGGCTTGTCTGTCTAGAAGGTTCCATTCATCTTCCTCATAGAATCCGGCCTCTTCCCCGAGAGGGGTTGATACAGATTTTTCTGATACAGATAATCCTCTATCTGTATTTTTCAGAATCTGAAATTTGATCCATCAAATTTATCTAATCTCACATTTCTTTCATCTGCAGCCATTGTTCCCACTTGAATTCTACTTCCTCTAAATCGTTTTAAGCTCTGATACCAATTGTTGGGGAATACCCGGGGTTACGCTAAACCCCTAAAACAACAAAAACACAATATAGAAAAAAGTACACTAAGATTTAACGAGGTTCGGCAAACTTATCTACGTCCTTTGGAGCCACAATTAATTTCTTATTAATTAACAAGAAATTATAATGTAAGAGCAGATCTCAAACTTGAGATCTCTCAATAAATGTAATACTAACATTATAGCTACAGTGTTTAATTCCCTCTTAAATTAAATCCCCCTCTTCCAAGTTCTCTCTTTTATTTTTCCCCTCAAATCTGAGCGCTGGAAAAAAAATAGCGAGAGGGGAGAGAAGGAGCTTCGCCGCCGCTAGAGAGGGAGAACGTGTGAGGAGAGAGAGAGAGAGAGAGAGAGAGAGAGAGAGAGAGAGAGAGAGAGAGAGAGAAAAAAAGCAACAGAGGGGGGGCTCTGGGTTTCAAAACCCTAGGTGGGCTGTCGACAACCTGTCCCGCACTGAAACGAGTGCTCGAACTCGCCTGATTCAACCCTGTTTGCGTCGACCCAACTCCGAGCTTGCTTGATGTCGACCGAGCTCGTCTGCATCTTGCCTCAACCCCGAGCTCGCTTGGAGTTCCTCGCCTGCGCTGCGTCGTCGAGCTCGCCTGAACTTCGACCACGAGCTCGCCTGCAGATCTCGCCGAGCTCGCCTGAAGGAGCTCTTCGCCCGCTCGAGCTCGCCTGACAGGTTTGGTCTACACCCAAACCAACAATGGAAAGCTCCGCCTCCATCAGATTTACCACGTATTGGAGCAACAGAACACAATGTAGGAGATAAGTAAGGGCTGAACCCTCAATTTCAACTTCACTGCTTGGACTGAGTGTAGACAGTTCAGAGTCGGAGATATACGTGGTACATTATCTATTGCCTTGTAGTCCGTATCAGATGTTTCAGTAATCTTGATGTTGAATGCAATATTCGTTCTTGTAGTATTTAAGTATGCTTCTGACAAAGTTGGTGGTCCAGAATGTGAGCACTGCAGTGTGCAGCAAGAGAATGAAGCTATGGCTACCAGAAATGATGTTGTTAGACTTGCAACTCCTGGAAAGAGATGGTACATTTGTGGAAAAGCTGAGGCAAGCATTGTTGGTCAGGGATGAAGCTGGTTATTGATGTCCTCCCTTCTTCAATGAAGCATGCTCCTTTTGCAGCTCCTTCAAATTCTCTGACATGGGAGGCTCCAGCTGCAGCCCCTTTGACTGGTTCAAGAAAATCCTTTGTCGGAGATGATAAGGGCTGGACCCTCAACTTCAATTACACTGCGTGGGCTGAAGGCAAAGAATTTCGACTTGGAGACATCCTAGGAATCAAGCTGCTTACTATTATCTTCAAAGACTTGATCTAAAGGTTTTTTTTTATATATACCCTTAAATTATGCACATTTGCAACTACCCTGGAACCAACAACTTTTTTTTTAGTGGGGTGGGGTGGGGTGGGGTGGGGGGGGGCGTGATCCGCCAAAAGTAAAACTACTCACATTAACTTGATGCGGGCCTAATTTGTACCATTCCGTTAATAAAAAAAAATTAAGCAAAATAAGTGCAAGTACTACTTACTCACAATATCCAACAGAGTTGATTGATTGGCTTGATTTATTGGGAATATTTTCTTGCCAAGCTGGTGATCTGTGTGTGCATGTGTGCCGCCTTTTCCTTCGGTGGGGGTTGTTGGGGGGGTTTTTTGTTTGTTTTTTTCCCTTGGGGTGGGGTGCGGGGTGGAGGTGGGGGGGGGCGGGGGGGTGTTGTGTTTGTCGGTAGATATGCATGGTTAACAGGTATATATACAGAAACCCTATCTAACATTGAGATAGTTGCAAATATTGAGATAAGGGGTACCTTTGCAAATATTGAGATATGGACTAGTTTTGCTACACCAAGCTAACCTTTGCTTTCTTTGGCGATTGATTGTTGCAGTTTTCAAGTATCCTGTTGGGATTCGCAACATTTACAAAGTTGATGGCCCTGGCTTCCAATTATGCAATGTACCCTCTGGTACTGAGGCCCTAACTGCTGGATACGACATGATCACCCTTGCAACTCCAGGAAGGAAATGGTACATGTGTGGAAAAGCAAACGGCAAGCGTTGCCAGATGGGGTAAAAACTGGTCATTAATGTCCTCCCTTCAGGGTTGCCTGTCTCCTCTGATGCCCCCTCCAGTTCACCAACATGGAAAATTCCAACTCTACCACCTTCAATATTGCCAGAACCAAAGCAATTCATAGTTGGAGACAATTGTGGCTGGACCCTCGGCTTCAACTACACTGCTTGAGCTGAAGGCAAAGAATTCAGAGTTGGAGACAGACTAGGGATATCCATAGGCTTCAACTACACTGCTTGAGCTGAAGGCAAAGAATTCAGAGTTGGAGACAGACTAGGGATATCCATAGCTGTGCAGATAGTATTTTTCTTCCAAAACTTAATAACTCTATGTTGCAGTTTTCAAGTACGCTGTGGGCAAACATAACTTCTTTAAAGTAGATAGGCAAGCGTGCCCTGTGCGCTGGCCAGTGAGGCTCTGAGCAGAGGGTATGATGTGATAACCCTTAGGAGTCCTGATAGAAAATGGTATATCTGTGGAAAAGCAAATGTAGCACATTGCCAAAAGGGCCAGAAGCTGGTCATTAATGTCCTACCAGCTGTAGAGCAGCACAACCTTCTCCATCGGAATATGCACCTAGTCCCCATCATAAGTATGGGAATAAACTCTTCAAGTGAGCAAAGGAATGATGGAGTTCATAATCGAAGATTCCGTACGCATTTAATACAGAGTGATTTACATTAATCATTTTACATATTGATTCTTTTGTCAAGTCAGTGTCCTGTTATTTGTTTTATGATGAAATGACTAAGCTGTGTTTGTATGTTGTTGAGCAATCAAACAGGTCAGTCTGGTACTATATGAATAAAGAGCACTTCTATCTATAAAAGCCGGTTCACCCTACTGTGAAAATTGCAGCAATCAAATAGTCAGATCAAAACACCCTTTTTGAAGAATTTTTTTTTAAAAGTATTCATGTTTATTTCTTAACAAAGGAGATATAGGTCTCCACGCATGCTTTCCAACATGATTGTTGACCCCTTATCACCCTATCTCTTCATTCTAGGGATGGAATATTTATCTAGGAGATTGGATAAATTGAAGAATGAGAATAATTTCAAATACCATCCTAGATGTGGGAGACTAAAAATCACTCATCTTGTATTTGCGGATGATCTTCTTCTTTTTGCAAAAGGGGATTTACTCTCAGTCCAAAGTCTGTATTGTTGAAAGATCAAAAACCCTAATCAATTGAGTCATTAAGATAGTTAAGAATACATATATATATATGCATACAAAGAGGAGTATGGTTAACGGGTCACAGCCCATTAACCCAATACCCAATAAACTTATTCTAACACTCCCCCTCAAGCTGGAGCATAGATATCCATCATGCCCAGCTTGTCACATATAGTAGAAAACACCTTTGAAGAAGTAGCCTTGGTAAGAATATCAGCAAGTTGTTGTGAGGATGGAGTGAATATGAGAGACACTATCTTCTTCTCCCAAGCATCTCTGACAAAATTGCAGTCAACTTCAATATGTTTTGTCCTTTCATGAAACACAGGATTCTGTGCAATATAAATGGCAGACTGGTTGTCACAATGCATTGGCATGGGTCCAGGCTGATCAAAACCAAGTTCTGTCATAAACTTTCGTAGCCAAACCATCTCACAAGCAGTGTGAGCCATTGCTCTATATTCGGCTTCTGCACTAGACCGTGATACTACATCTTGTTTTTTACTTCTCCAAGTCACAAGATTACCTCCAACAAAAGTACAGAATCCTGAGGTAGAGTTTCGGTCTCCCATGTCTCGTGCGTAGCCAGCATCAGAGAAAGCCGAAATGTGAGTATGCCCATGCTTCTTATATAGCAATCCCTTACCAGGACAACTCTTGACATATGCCAAAATCTTTAGAGCAGCTGTCCAATGAACCTCTCTAGGTTTGTGCATAAATCTGCTCAGTACACCTACTGCAAATGTAATATCAGGTCTGGTAACTGTTAAATAGATTAGCTTCCCAATCAGTCTCCTATATCGTCCAGCATCATCCAGTAAAGAAGTATCATCACGCCACAAATCAACATTTGCCTCCATTGGAGTGCTTGCAGGTTTGCATCCCAAGAGATCTGTTTCTTCTAATAAATCTAGCACATACTTCCTTTGGGATAACAACAGGCCATGCTTTTGATATGCAACTTCAATCCCAAGAAAATACTTGGGCTTTCCCATGTCCTTGGTGATAAAATAACGGTTTAGATACTCCTTAGTTTCTATTAAGGCAACAGAATCACTCCCAGTCAGTAGAATATCATCAACATATACTGCTAAAATAACCAAGCCAGTTGTTGTGCGTCGAAGAAAGACAGAGTGATCAGACTGGCAACGTTGGAAACCAACACTAGAAATAACATTGCTGAATTTATCAAACCAAGCTCGTGGACTTTGTTTTAACCCATAAATGGCCTTCCTCAGCCTGCAGATAATATTCTCCCCCTGAGCAACATACCCAGGAGGTTGCTCCATATAAACCTCCTCGTCCAAATCACCATAAAGGAAAGCATTCTTCACATCTAGTTGGTGCATCGCCCAATCCATATTAACAGCTAAAGAGAAAAAAATTCTGATGGAGTTGAGACGCGCAACAGGAGAAAAAGTCTCAAAATAGTCGATGCCATATGTCTGAGTATAACCTTTAGCAACCAGGCGAGCTTTATATCGGTCAACAGACCCATCAGGACGATATTTCAAGGTGTACACCCATCTGCAACCAACCACAGTCGCTCCAGTAGGAAGAGAGACCAAATCCCAAGTCCTTCTAGAAAGCAGTGCATTCATCTCCTCATCCATAGCCTGCTTCCAGGCTGGTACTAACATAGCTTCCTCATGTGACCTGGGTATAGATACAGTGGACAAGGACAATGCAAACTGACGAAAGGATGGGGTGAGACGGTCATAAGAGACAAAAAGAGAGATAGGATATTTCGGGCAAGACCGTTTACCTTTTCGAAGAGCAATAGAAATATCCAAGTCATAAGAGATAGAAGTCTCAACATGAGATGGACCTGCAGCTGGCAGGTGAAAGAGTCAGCAGGACAGAGGACAGAGTGCATGTACTTTAGGACGACAAGAGTATGTACGTAGAGCCTTCGCGTCGAGCCTCAGCTAGCAGATAACGTATATGGTAGATTCATAATAAGTACGTGTACTGTGGAACAACCAGCAGTAGTGGAAACTGAGAGAAAAATATGGGGCAGACTTGCCCCCCCAAAAAGGTAACATCAAAGGCAGACACAAAATATTTTTCTGGTGAGGATGATAGCACCTATACCTTTTTGAGTACGTGAGTATCCAACAAAAGCCCACACTTAATGGATCTAGAAGACAATTTTCACAACCAGTGTCAAATCCTGAACAAAACCGTACAACCAAAACGCGAGGAACACAACAAATTGTTTTTATATAGTATAAAGACATGAATGTATAAACATCAAGAACAGAGGAAGGAATGCGATTTAATCAAATACAGGCATTTATTACAGCATCAGACGCACAAATACTTGAATATTCAATGCTATCATATTGTCTACGCAACATCTAGAATATGCTATCTTCTCTGCAGCAACTCCATTTTGTTGTGAATGGAGAACATGAAGTCCTGATGAATAATACCATTAAGTGCCACAAATTTTGTAACATCATTTTTCATATATTCCAAAGCGTTTATCTGCTACGAAGAATACGATACAGAAGTAGAGAACTGGCGTTTTTATTTCATTATAAAAAAGTTCAATAACATTCGGAGACCTTCGGACCTCTCTTTTAACAAATACAACCAAGTCATGCGAGAGAAATCATCAACAAAGACAATAATATCGAAAACCTTTCACAGATGAAACACGGTAAGGACCCCAAACATCGATGAACCAACTCAAATCGCAACACTACTGCGTTTATTGACACGACTCTGAAAAGTAGCACGATGTGACTTACCAGTTCACACGACTCACAACCTAATGATAAGAAACAGAAGCTGAATAGAAACTACCGATCTAAGCTTTTGCAGTGAAGGATGACCTAGACGCCAGTGGCCACAGTAGGTAGAGTCAGGCTGTGATGCAACAAGACCAGTATCTGACACACTATGGTCCAAATAGTACATACCTCCTCTCTCATGCCCCGAACCAATCGTCATCCAGTTGCTAGGTCCTGAAAAACACAATAGAGGAAAAGAAAGTGACTTTACAGTTATGTGCTTTTGTAAACTTGCTAATGGATAATAAGCTAACAGGAAATTTAGGAACATATAACACATCAGATAGTTTCAAAGATGAAGTAGCATGAACTACTCCATCACCATGAACTGGAGAAAGAGTTACCATCAGCAATGCGGATAGAGGGAAACTTATTACAAAGATGTTAAAGATACAATGCCTTTATACCTGTCATATTGGGATGAGGCTCTAGAATCTAGTACCCAGGGTTTGTGAGAAGAAGCTATGTAAGCATCCATACCTGAAGAGGATGCATGAGTAGCAGAATGACTGTTCTGAGAGAGCTCTAGCTGGCGTAATCGCTCATAATCTGCCTGAGAAATCTGAACAGTGGTAGCAGTAGCAGCTGGACCACCAGAAGTAGTAGCAGAAATAGACGTGCGAGTCGACTCGGCGTCAGCGACCTGAGCCCACTGAGGACGACCAAACTTTTCCCAGCACTTCTCAGAAACATGATTGGTCCTCCCACAGTGACTACACTGACGTGAACCCCTATCAGAATCACCATGTCGCCCACTAAAGGAGCCACGTCCTCCCACAGACTCACGACCACGACCACGACCACGACCGCGGCCTCTGCCTCGACTAGAGAACATGGCAGACTGATGAACTGAAGGTGGAGACGGTGCAGTGGTAGAAGTAACACCAGTAGAGACCTGCATAACTCTGGAGAATGTAGCAGTTAGTGAAGGAACGGTATCTCCACCCAATATCTGTCCCCTCACCTGGGACTGTAAGGTAGGGTGCAATCCAGAAAGAAACTTGGACACCGCCAGGTCACGGCGATATCCCAACAGCGTCGCTGCATCAGCTACTGCAGGCTGATGCATCTCCAGTTCGTCTATCAGTCCCTTCAACTCACCAAAGAACTCAGGAACTGATCTATCTCCCTGTTTCAGTGCAAACAGTCGCTCATAGATCTCAAATACACGGGAAACATTCTTCTCATTCCCGTACATAATCTTCAGGCTGTCCCACATCTCCTTCGCAGTGGTTAAGAACATAACACTGCTACTGATCTGTGCTTCCATACTGTTTAGAAGCCAAGTCATAACACAATAATCAGACGATAGCCATGAACTGTAGGTAGGATCTGTAGTGAGGGGCGGAGATGCCAGAAGATGATTTAATTTGTTCTGAGCACCAATGAAAATACGAAAGGCATGTGCCCAAAGAAGATAGTTTGTGCCATTTAACTTTACCGTGGTTCCCAAAACCACCTTTGGTGCAGAAATCTCAGTAGTAGGAGTAGTGACAGTAGTAACATCAGAGGAGATATCAAAAGACATTGTTATAGGATAGTCAGTAGTAGCAAAAAGGAGTTTTAATCAAAGAATCCTTTGATTTGAGATTAACACATAAGCGGACAGAGTTTCAAGATTCCTTCGTCAGTCCTTCTCGACATTCCCCCACTTTTTTTTAATGAAACAAAAGGCAGTTAGCCTTTAAAAGATAAAAAAGGGCAGTTGACCTTCTTTATCTTATTACCGACAAGGCTCTCCTCTCTGATCGTGTCTTCCGCCCACTTGTTGAGAAATATGCTGCAGACGAGGATGCTTTCTTTGCTGACTATGCCGAGGCTGGAGGAAAGAGGATCGTCGGAGGTCTGCGGCTAGAGGAGGTTGGAGCTCAGCGGATCTAGCAAAGGAGAGGACGATGAGAACAAAGGGCAGGGCGGTGGTGAGCGATCCGCTTGTCCTTTAGGGTTCCGATCAGTTTCTTCCCCCCTTTTTTTTGTTTTTTTTTTTTTTTTTGATGGCGGCGATGAGAACTAAACGCAGGGCGGTGGTGAGCAGCTCGAAGAGACTCCGGCACCGTCGTCGAGGGTTAGGGTTTGGAGGGTGGTGAAGTCCGGTTGCGGAGCGGAGGAGAGCAGAGAAGGTTAGTACTTTTTTTTTTTTTAAGAACAAGGGTTAGGGTTTGGAGGGTATCGCTCTGATACCATGTTGAAGGATCAAAAACCCTAATCAATTGAGTCATTAAGATAGTTAAGAATACATATATATATGCATACAAAGAGGAGTATGGTTAACGGGTCACAGCCCATTAACCCAATACCCAATAAACTTATTCTAACATGTATCAATGCTTGAAAGAATTCAGTGCTGTCACTGGCCTTGAAGCTAATCCTGATAAGTGTTCAGTTTACTATGGTGGAGTCACTGACACTGTCAAAAAACAAATTGAAGAATGTCTGGGATTCAAAGAAGGATTATGGCCAATTAAGTATCTTGGAGTTCCTCTCCTGCATAAGAGACTGTCCTATGTTGATTGCCTCCCTCTTATTAACAAGATTAATGGTCAACTGCAGAGCTGGATGAAATGTAAAAATTTATCATATGCAGGCAGAATTCAGGTGATAAAAAGTGTTATCCTTGGAGTTCAAATCTATTGGACTTCAAGTTATTATCTACCTATGAAAGTTCTTCAAAAAGTGGATGAATTATGTAGGGGTTTTTTGTGGGGGGAAAATGAACAGTCACTCAAAGTTGCTCTTGTTTCATGGGAGAAAATTTGCTTGTCTAAGGATCAGGGAGGCTTGGGTATCTATTCTGCTGCAAACTGGAACAGAGCTTCTGTCTTGAGGAATCTGTGGTATGTACATATCAACAAAGACTTGCTGTGGATTAGATGGATACATGGTATTTACTTAAAAAGAGACAGCATCTGGCAAGTAAAAGCAAAAAATGGGGATTCTTAGACTTGGAAGCAGATGTTGAAAATTAGAGACTATGCTCTGATTCAATGTGGAGGGGAGGAAAATCCGAAACATCTCTTAGCTTCTTGCTGCAAAAATAACAAAATTCAGCTCTCTTCTCTTTACAAGCTTTTCTCCCATAATGCTAGCAAAGTGCGATGGAGCAACACTGTTTGGGGAGGTTTGAACTATCCTAAACATTCTTTTATATGTTGGCTTGTTGTCCAAAACAGGTTACAGACAAAGGATAGATTGATGATGAGAGGGATCGTAAATGTAAATAATTGCACTTTGTGTTCGGGTCAGGAGAACAGAGACCATTTGTTCTTTTGTTGTCCTTTCTCAAGTGAGATTTGGAACCAGGTGATGTTATGGCTCCAATTCAAATGGAGAGCATGCAATTGGGATAACCTTCTTGATTGGTACTGTAACAAGCTTAGAGGTAGAGGAGACAAAGTGAAAATTAAAAGACTGGCGTTTACTACCACCTTGTACAAAATTTGGTGTGAACGCAACTGCAGAATTTTCAAGCAACAGTGCAAAAGCAAAGACCAATTGGTAAAGGAAATCAAGATGGATATATTGATCATTGTCCTCAATAGCTCCTTGCCGGATATATTCAAAGAATGGATTAGTCTCTGTAAATAGCTTAGAAAAAAATGATCCTTTTTTGTTTTGTTTTTTTTTTTTTGAATTTTTGAAACCTCACATAGGAGGTTCTTGATGTTCTTAAAAGCTTACATTTGGTGAATGAATAAAATTTTTTCATTGACCAAAAAAAAACATGATTGTTGACTGCTATGGCAGCTCAAATGGAAGGTAAGAAGCATCAATGTCAACAACACACGGATAGGGTGTTGTGTCCCCTAAAAATCCATAGTTAAGAATCCATGGGAACACACATGCTGGGATTAGATATTTTAGAGTGAGCAAGTTCACCCTATTAAGAAGTTTCTTTTGTATGGGAGCTCTTACCCAAGAGTCTATTATTAATTACAATAATTATCTTTTTTCAAGAGGAACATCCAACCAAGAAACTAAGTCATATTTATAGAAATTGGAGAGTTAAACAAGTATTTCATGATTAGTTTTTCTTTCTTGCACAACAGTCATAATGCAGTCTTGACCCCTACGCAAGAAAATTTTGCTGGTGCACCAAGCCTCGCACATTTAAAGTAACAACCAAGGGGGAAAATAGCTCAGTATTTGTTCTGATAATTTTAGCAAATTTAACCACTTTGAGATTGTTATATTAATTATGCCCCCTTTGGAGCTACTTTTGTAAGTTCTACATGTTTCGAGATATTATTTTGATAACTGTGAGCTCTACAGGTTTTCATGTTATGATAATTGATCCTTTGGCAATTTTTACCACTTTATAGGTTTTTTTTTTTTTTGTATATAAAGCCAAAGTTTTTGTATATAAACCCAAAGTTTTAGCCTATTAATTTTTAAACCCGACCACTTCCCAAATCACTCTTCTCCCCAGTGTACTCAACTGATTATATTTTAACTCACTTTGTACTTCGATAGTTTGGTAATATGGTTTAGTTTAACGAACCTTTTAAACATACCTTGTGAATTGGTTTGAAATGTGTATCAAGCAGAAGATTGTTTACTTTGCCTAATTGGTGACAAAATGAGTTGACACAAAAACTAAATGGTCAAATTATGCATTTTCTTTTTTGTTTCATTCTAAAATGAAATGGTTAAACAAATATTTTTGGCTTTTTCCACACTAATACCATTGCAATGTGCATGATAATTTTGCTCGTTAGCAACTAATTAATAGTGTGGAGTGAGTTTAGGCCCCACCTGAGCCTAGTTTCATCTCACAGTAAACCAGAATTAGGAGCTGTTGTTTTTGTTGATGATGATGAGGTAAAGAAATATATTATAGCGTAAGCATTTTGTGTAACTGATGTATAGATAAGAAGAGGGAAACTAACTTTCTCATCTACTTCTCCTCAAATATTCTCAATATATTAATAACAATATCAGTAACTACACTGTAAAAAGATAAGTGCACAGGGAAGTAATGAATCTAAACAAGGAAGCATTTGTGTTCTATTATTTATGTCCTGGGTAGCCAGCAATAAGATTTAAGGAGAAAAGGTCTGCCTCAATTTTGACTCAATACTGTAACTACTACGAATTTGAACATATTACCAAATGAATGACCGAATACATTAAACAGTATACAAGGACATTGAAATCATGAGATGAAAAATATATTAGTAACATAGTGAGACAAGGGCTAATAGCTCATATAACTTTCTTGTAAATCTAAAGTAATAAGATTTTTTTTCAGCGGGGAAAAATAAAAACAAAAACTTTAAATTTTAAGGTTAGCCTCATTTTTTTAACTTTTTGATAACCAGGCGTTATTAATCCATAGTATCCACATTAATATCTATATCCAATCAAGATTTTTAATGGTTCTTCATCAGATTGAATGTTGAGCTACTATAAGAAAATACGTATGTATCGAGACCTATGCTCCCCAGTTTGAAATATATAAGTATGTACGTCAAAACATGGGAAGTTTATAATTGAAATTTAATGTGCCCCAAGTCAGTAACTAACCTGAGAGCAACCAGTTGAGACAAGATTCCAACAAGCAATGCTACAGGGATCAGAGCTCCAAAGCTGCAGGCCTGCCGCTTTTGTAATTGGTGAATAAACATATGGCGAATAGACAGAGCTAGTACCATCCTCCCGCAGCCTCCTAAAGATACTACTTTTAGAATTCTTCTTTCAACATTCGTACGCCATATGGATACATCAGACTTTTTCAAACTACACGGTTTCGATTTTGTCTAAGGGATTTTAGGGAATAATCATGTTGCCTCCCTCAAATACATAGTTGCTTCTACAATAATGTATCATCTTGTCATTGATCTGCTTGTCCGGCTAGGCTCTCAACAATGCATTTTCACAATCAAATTGTTATAAATAGACCCCAAACACCATAACATTGCAAACACACAACTGAAAGTGAAGCTAGCCAAGAAAATCTTTAGTTCCAATGGGTTGCAAGAAGCTTGCCATCCTAGCCGTCGTCTTTTTCGCTCTTCTAGCATTTGCTCAAGGAACCGAACACATAGTGGGTGATTACTATGGCTGGACTCTCAACTTCGACTACAATGCCTGGGCCAAAGGCAAAGAATTCAGAGTCGGCGACACTCTTGGTATTTGAAATTACTCTTCAGTTATCGAACAATATGTGAATCTTCTTGAACTAAAATCTACTTCTTGCAGTTTTCATGTATGTTGTGGGAAAACACAATGTCTTCAAAGTGAACGGCCCTGATTTCCAAGCCTGCAATGTACCCCCAAAGAGTGAGGAAATGGCAACCGGAAACGACGTGATAATGCTTACGAGCCCAGGTCAGAAATGGTATATGTGCGGCAAGGCCAATGGTACCCACTGTCAAAAGGGTATGAAACTGGTGATCAATGTGCTTCCGGCTAATGAAAAAGCTCCTGCTCCGTACTATTCATCACCATCGACATGGAAAGCTCCACCTCCATCAGGTTCACCATATACCGGACCGAAGCAACACGTTGTTGGAGATGGGAAGGGTTGGACCCTCAAGTTCAACTACACTGCTTGGGCTGAGGGCAGACAATTCAGAGTTGGAGATACGCTTGGTATGTTATCTATTAACCAATTACCTTGTGGTAAATATTAAATGTTGCAATAATCTGGATGTTGAATGCACATTTGTTCTTGTAGTTTTCAATTATGCCGTTGGAGCTCACAATGTTTTCAAGGTGAGCGGATCAGCCTTCGAGCACTGCAGTGTACCGCCAGAGAATGAAGCTATGGCTACTGGGAATGATGTTATTACCCTTGCAACTCCTGGAAAGAAATGGTACATATGTGGAAAAGCCGAGGGCATGCATTGCTGGTCAGGGATGAAGCTAGTTATTGATGTCCTCCCTTCTCCTTCAATGGAGCATGCTCCTGTAGCAGCTCCTTTGAATTCTCCAGCATTGGAGGCTCCAGCACTAGCTCCAACTTACTCAGAGTGGGAGACTCCACCTGTAGCCCCTCCCACAGGTCCGAGAAAATTCTTTGTTGGAGATGACAAGGGCTGGACTCTCAGTTTCAACTACACTGCTTGGGCTGAAGGCAAAGAATTTCGAGTTGGAGACATCCTAGGTATCGACTTACCCAACTATGTTCGTAAACATAATCTTAAATTTTCATCTTTGGCTTGCATGTATTTACTAATTTCATTGCTCCTACAACGAAACGAAGCCAACACTAGTTTTGACCTCGTGATTGATTGTTGCAGTTTTCAAGTATCCTGTCGGGGTTCACAATGTTCTCAAAGTAGACGGTCCAAGCTTCCAAGCATGCAATGTACCTCCTGAAACTGAGGCTCTATCCACTGGATATGACAAGATCACCCTTGCGTCTCCAGGAAGAAAATGGTATATGTGTGGAAAAGCCAGCGGCAAGCATTGCCAGATGGGGCAAAAACTAGTCATTAATGTCCTCCCCTCCTCTAATGCCCCTTTGAATTCCCCGGCATGGAAGACTCCAGCTCCACCACCCTCTGCATTGCCAGTACGAAAGCAATTCATAGTTGGAGATGATTATGGCTGGACCCTCGACTTCAACTATACTGCTTGGGCTGAAGACAAAGAATTCCACGTTGGTGACAGACTAGGTATATCCATATCTCTGCACGCAGTAATTTTCTTCAAGTAATGTGCACAAAACTTACTAACTCTATGTTGCAGTTTTCAAGTATGTTGTGGGCAAACACAATGTCTTTAAAGTTGATGGCCCTGCATTTCAAGCATGCCATGTGCCACCAGAGAGTGAGGCTCTGACTACAGGGTATGACGTGGTCACCCTTGCAAGTCCTGGAAGAAAATGGTATATCTGTGGTAAAGCATACGGAGAGCATTGCCAAAAGGGCCAGAAGCTGGTCATTAATGTCCTCCCAGCAACATGGCAGAATACTACACAACCTTCTCCACCCAAATATGCACCTAGTCCCCGACATGGGTATGGGAGGAAACTCTTCAAGTGAACAATGGGATAAGGCAGATGATTATTGAAGATTTTATAAGAATTTAATACGGAGTGATTTACTTTGATCAATTTATGATTCTTTTAGTTCACACTGCATCGTAACAGTGAGTTCTTTTGTCAAACCAGTGTCCTATTGTTTAATTTATGATGAGATGACTAAGCTATTTCTGTATATTGTTGAGCAATCAAACAAAGTAGTTCAGTACTATATAAATAAAGAGCACTCCCAATAATGTAAGGTGGTTTTTTTTTATCTTTTTCTTAGATGTAGGGTTGCTATAGATAAATCTAGAAGTCGCGTATATTCTAAAAAGATCATCTTCAACTATCAGCCATAGCATCCCTTGTGAAAATTTTGAGGAACGTCTAACCAAGCTCTTCTCAGGTGACATTAAAAACTAGTTTTAGGTGACATTTTCTGCGACTTGAATCCAATAAAACCTTTCCTCTTACTATTCCTACACCCCCTTAATCAACCGAGCTCTTCTCAGACTTTAGGTCCAGTAGCTCATTCCAAGTTTATTTAGAAGATTTCTAAGATACTGGATAAGTTAAAAGAAATAAGGGGCACATGAAAGAAAGTCAAAATATACATTTCAAAATTCATGCGCAACTTCTACATATTACATTTCTTAGAACTGTAAGACAAGGTAATCTGGTTGGAAATTGAAGTTTATTCTGCAATTTAGGGGCTGGTCAGTTGGCCAAGAAACCAGGAAGCCACGTTATAAGACACCTATTTTCTATAAAGTTTTCTTTTCTTTGGTTTGGTTCACACTTTGAAATCAATAGGGAGGGTGAGGTGGCACACTCGCACTAGTTGATTTTACTCCATTTCTTGGAAACCCATTTCGTTTTTTTTTTTTTTTTTTGGAAGACATCACTCGAAACATATTTAGGTGTTTTCTTTATCAGATTTTCTTTTCTTTTTTTTCTCCACTAAGAAATTAACCATCAACATCTCATATTTAGTGGAAAAATAAACAGCATTTGACGTTTTCTCTTCTTAACAATGTTACAAAACAGATGTTAGTAAAAATTAAACAAAGCATCGATAACATAAAAATATGAGATCTATTAGAAAGAAAAGTATACTACGCCAAAAAAAAAGGAAAATTAATCAATTTTAATCGACGAACAAACATCAGGCTCCTTTGAACATTCGATATGAGGTTACCGAGAACTCCTCTCGAGGACCTGATACGGTAGATTTTGCCGCCCATCGTCCCAATTATTTGCCCTAGTTCCTCCTTGACCGTTGAAATTGGGCCGGATTAGGGTTTTGGAGATTCTAGAGGGAATTAGGGTTTCGAAAATTGGTTCAAGAATTGGGAGTAGATTTGGGAATTTGGCGGGAAATGAGGGCAACAATGCCCCCCGAATCTTTTCTGAGCGGGTTCTGCTGCTAAATTTATCGGAATTTTATTTATGCACGAGGTTCTGACGTACTTTTTCATATAAATCCCTAACTCGTTTCTAATTTATATTAGGTTCTAAAAATTTGAAAATCCCACGCTAGTCACCCAAATTATCTCAGTTACATTCTATATCTACTTCTTTTTATTTTATTTTTTTTCCTGACAGTGATATAGCACATCACTAATATAACACCCATGAAACAATTCCCAAGTTTGTAACAATAAGGTACCTGAAAAGCAATGTTATGTCCTTCCAATTCTTATTTCATGTATATTATTCATTTGTAAGTTATCGCCATTTTACCCCTTTAATTTTATGTACAGAAAGAAATTCATCAAAGTATTCCACCAGCTTCCCAGTACTCTGAGCCTCTGATATATTACTCCACCTGCACTAATCTCTTCAACTTTCCATTTATCTTCCATTTTTTTCACTTACACCCCTCCACTTTTCCTTTTTTTTTACATATTATCACCCTCCGGCTCAGGCTGTTTCATTTTCTTACGCTCTGGAGCTCGCATTATAGGTGCTGCAACTTTAGTAATGTGATGTAGAACACTTAGTAGACACATTTATATCAAAGTGGAACAGTCGCAAACCCAAATGTGGGTCTGGTTGAAGAAAATTATTTGTTTCGAAGAAACGGCCGTAACTTTCAAACCGTACGTCGGAATTGGACGAATTATATATGAAAATCGACTATCTCGACGAGACGGAGCCATCCAAACTGACCCCTTTGGGTTCGGTTTGCGTTCTCAGTTTCGCCAAATTCCTTACGGTTTGAGAGATATTTGTAGTTTTGTTCATTTTTTACGAGTCTGTTTTGTTTAGGAAACAAATCCGATTTGATCTCAGATTTAACCGGAGGACTTTCCTAATCATAAGGAGTCTTTTTAGAAGTTTTAATGTTTTAGGAATTCTTTACCATTTTTGGTAAGTTGAGAGTCCTTGTAGGAATTAGAGTCCTTGTAGGTAGGGGTGAGCATGGTTCGGTCCAAACCGAAAAAACCGGCCGAACCGACCGAAAATCAACGGTTCGGTTCGGTTTTAACTCTTAGTCGGTTCGGGTCGGGTTGAAAAATTTTCAACCCGAACTACCCGAACCGACCGCCATTACCCATGCCCATTTTAACGTAACCCGACCCGTGTTCCCTCAGGATAAAATCCCAAAATCTAACCTAGCTCTCAAAGCCCGTTCTCCAAATCTTCTCCAACCTCAGATCCAGCTGCCACCGCCGCTCCAAAGTCCAGCCCTACCGCCCTCCGTCGACGCGCTCCGTCTCCATCTCTGTCACCGCTGCGATCCGTCAACCCATCTTTGTTTCTCATTTCTGTATATTTGGATTATTATAGGGCCAAACTCCGGCGTTTCCTAGGATCTTTGGGCACGAAGCAGGAGTGTAAGAAATTCCTTATGCATCTTAAGTCGTTTGAGTAAGTTTTCACCACTTAATCAGTTGAAATCAGGGTTTCTGAAATTACCTTTTCTGATTTGACCTCCTCTAAGTTGATCGGATTTAGGAATCATTAATGTTGTTGCCTGATGGAATGGTGCCAGTTTTTTTATTTTTTTGCTTTTTGAAAGATTGGAAAATCGATGACTTTTTAAAATTGGGAAGTTTGTGGCCTAATTTCATATTTATTTTCGCGGATCAGAGAATTTGTATAATATATGATAAGGGAAGAAATCTTGTTTTAGAAAAATATTCTCATTCAAATTAGCGCAAGTGATTGACCTTGTTCATGCATAAGGGTAAATCATAATTTACTCAATTGCTTGAAATCAGAACTTCTGAGACATTTCTGATTTGAGATCGTATAAGTTGATCTAAAAAAAGTTTCTGTACATTGGAGTAGCAGTGATAATTGATGTATTAAATGCTGTCGATTGTTGCAATAATTGTTATACTTGATGAAGTTAGAACCGAACAAACCGAACCGAACCACACCGAACCGATTTGCAACGGTTCAGTTCGGTTTTGAATTGTAGGTGGTTCGGTTCGGTTGTTTAATTTTTGGTAAAAACCGACCCGAACCGAACCGTGCTCACCCCTAATTGTAGGAGTCTTGTTTCTTTTTTCTATTTAAGAAGAGTTTTGTAAGCCCTAGAGGCATAACTTTTGATTAATAAAATTTCGTTTTTCCTCAATATTTCTTCGTGGATTCGAAGCTCTTCGTGGATTCGAAGATCGTTCTTTGTGGATTCAGATAACACCCTTGGTGGATTCCGAGGTTACAACTTCCGCGCTGCGTCATAATGCATTTTGGGAAAGTAATTGTAAGAAACCACTTTCTAATTTGGCGCAGGTTTCGCAAGCATTACAATTCTCAGGAGCTCAAAATTCCTTCGGGAGGCGTCTCCATCGGTTTCCATCAATAGGGCGCTCGTCGCTTGTTTTGTGATTGCCATACTTATCGAGCTGAATCCTTAGGTGCTCCTTTCTGAATCCTGTATATACAAAAAATAATTAATATATTGACTAGTGTTTGCGTCGAAAATTGTTGTATTCATTGCGATATTCATTACAACTTCGGTCGTTACAATGAAAACAAAAAGATAGTCTTTTTATAAGACTTTTACACAATGAAAATGAAAAAATACAATTCTCGTCAAACAAACGCAGAGATCGTTTATCGGTCGTCTGCTTGCGTGGGATCTTTGCCTGTGCCGGGGTTTATCCGTGGACGACCTTAGATCTGGATCCGGTTGATGAAAATTTTGGCAGAGCTTCGTCTTCACCAAGGAAGTGTTTGATTTGAAGCGCTGAGATCGACCAAGCGAAATCAGGGCTCTTCTCGAGATTAAGACCAAGCCTAATCTCAAGGGACGGACGGGAACGGGCGTCGGATCTCTCGAACTCTCCTTCTTTATGCCGAAGAACTCGCCAAGATCTGTCAACCCTCGCTGAAATTCGTGCTCCTTTGACTCCACAATCCGGCAGCACCTCCTCGTCTTGATAATCAATCGCCCCTGAAAAATGGAGGCCTTTGACTCATATTTATAGGCCTCGAATGCGGTTATTTGGATGAGAACAAGTGATTTGGCTCTATCTTCAGTTAACAACAGCCTAACCACGTTTGGGGATGATATCAGGTCAGTTAGAAACCCCTGGAACTGAAAAGATCTCGAGAAAACCGTTAAAACCGTCGAAATACACATCAGGGGGTCAAAACAGCGCGGCAGACTGGTCTGACCCGCGCTTGCGCGGGTCGGATCAGTCCGACCCGCGCTTGCGCGGGTCGGACCAATCCGACCCGCACTTGCGCGGGTCGGATCAATCGTCTTGTTGACTTGCACGCTTCGTTGCGGGATTAACTGTAGAACGCGCGTCGGTTGATACACACGTGTTGATTGACGCACGCATGCTGATTGGCGCGCACGAGCTGACTGTCGAGCGTGTAGGTCACTTGATTCGCCGTTTTGCTTCAGGCGCTTGTCGGCGTCAAATAATCCTCTTAAACTCGGATAACGATGTTCGTCGTCTTCTCTCTGTCTCAAGCTGTGTACGGACACCTATAGGCATTTTTAGATGCCTACAGATACCCCCTCCAAAGTATTCCAGACTCATTCTTTTATTAAGGAGTCTGGAATGCTTTGGATAAGATAGGCCATCTCCTCAATTTCGTAGAGTGACCTTGAACTATCTCAATTCTTAACTTCTTCAGTCTTCAATCTATTCATTGTTTCGTCGAATAGGTGAAGTTCTTCCGGCGCTGCGTTTATCGTCTGACCGCTGTCGAAATCTTGAACTGAGATTGGTGTGTAACTTTCTGAACTTAACTCGTGTCATTGAGTTGATTTTGAACTGATCCTCTCCGTCGGGAATTCATATCTGATTGTAACTGAAATCCTTGGAGTCATCTTTTGCCTTATTTTGGCGAAATTGCTGATGCGTTGACCGGCATCGATCTTTACTGTAACGCGTTGACCGGCGTTAACACAGTTTATACTCGTACGTTTGCTGGAGTCTACACAGTTTAAGCTCTTAAGGCATTGGAGCGTGACGGTCCCGAATGTTGGGCTGTAGGACCAACTATTAAAGCTGATTCATCTGCACGTGTGGATCTTATCCTGAAGTTTGTTGGATGTTCAAGTCATGAGACCAACTAATGAAGCTGATACGTCAATGACTCATATTTATAGAATTTTTAACAAATTCTCAACCATCAACGGGTTTGATAAGCCTTTACCGACTACCGTTTGAGTCGGACTAGCATGCGGATTGTTTGAGTCCGTTCCGCATGTAACGTTATGCTAAAAGAGTTAACTCTTTTAGTGCTACGATATTGAATACGTAGACTTCGTCTTTCTCCTGTGAAAAGACTAAACAGCTGTTTTCGTCAAAAGTTGCCTTCATCATTGATTTCATTAAACTTCAAACGTTACAAATGAATTCAAATAACAAAGAATTAAAAATTACAACTTTCTT